AATCATTTTCATATGACCATTCCCAATTTAATTTTTTGTTTTTTTTAACCGACTTCCAAAAAAGGAGGAGGTTATTTTATGTATGTTACCGCATAGCATTGGACCACGTTAACCGGTTCAATAGTTGTTTCTATTATTACAGAAACTGATTGCTGATTTTAGCAAGTCATTCGATTTTAATAAGCACCACACATTTACTTGTGTGAGGTAGAAAAAGATTATTACATTTTTATACACAAAAAATTTAAATTTCCAGGTATGTAGAAGAATCTTTCGACGGAATTTAGCGCAATGCCATATTTTGACAAAATTTTATCAAAAATGTTGATGTAGTACCAATGTTTCAGATCCAAAATGTACCAAAAAAGTATAATTTAACCTCCAATTTCATCACTGATATATATTCTTCAGGACCTTTTAGGAATTCCTCCAAGTTTCGTATGTAGTAATTTTCATTAAAAAATTTTCATGCAGCATAGTTAATGGTGTTCATGAACATAATTTACACCGCTATTAGGAAAGAATGTCGATATAAACGTCAAAGCAGGCAAGATCTTTGAACAAATTCTATTTCTAAGGGTATTATTTAAAAGCAAAGATACAAAAATATTTTTAGTACAAAAGTTTTATTTACATTGGGCAGTTTTGTTTATGGTATATTTTTTGCATATAAAGCGTTTATTTTTCAGTTTACCTTAAATAAAAAAGAAGTGTACACTTCTCTTTTTCAAGAAAAAATTTATAACTATGGTAAATTGCCCAACATTTTTTGAGTACGTAACCAAAATTAATTTTACTTCAATCAAAAATAGATATTATTCGCTATATTTCTTAATTTGTCTACATGCGATGCTTATTTAAACGCTACCAAAATGCTGACTATCAGCGTTCAACATCAGACTATCCAGTGCACAGTTGCCACATACGGCGCACGTCTTATTTGTATTATTATCGCCAATATTATTTTTGTTTTGTTTGGCACTTTTATTGTCATTGACATTTTGTGCATTTTCTCCATTTTGACTTACCCTTAATCGACTATCCGCCACCGTCCACACACGAGCGCCATAATCATTTGAAGTGCCAGTATATAAGTGCCAGTCGAATCAAAGTCCACGGAATTGATGCCGGCACTACTGCCGCCCAAAACGGCGCGTGGTTCCTGCGCAACTGTAAGAGCAGAAAAATTAAATATTTGTATGACTTCAACTGCTGCGCCTACCTTTCGCCACATCCCACAGTCTTGACCTTACGATCGCCACCACCGGTCGCCACTAGCCGCTCCACTGGGCTCCAACGCACCGCATGCGATTCGTTGTCGTGCGCTTCGAATTTCATAAATATTGTTGTTGGTATTGAGGAAGACACTAAGCACGGATTGAGATTTGGTTCATGTAGAGGTCCCAACATTTCAGCGAGATTGTAGTAGTCACCTACCCCGCCAACGGCACCGTTATTACCGCCAGTCAACGAGATACAGTCGCCTTCGTCGCCCAGTTGTGATGGACTACCCGAATTGCGATGTTGTGAGTTGGGTTCACGGACGGCGTCTTCTAGATCGCGTTTCAATTTGTCCGAACGTTTTCTGAAAATTGACGGCAGTCTTTTTCTAGATATTTAAAAGTGGGAGTGCACAATTTGTGATATGATATCGAAAACAAAAAGAAAAGAAGAAGAAAAGGAAAATAGTTGTTTTTTCGGTACGTTTGCAAAATATTTAAAAAAAAAGAGATTTTGGTTTTCTTTTTGAATTTTCTTTTGGTGGTCTTTTGATGCATTTGATGGCTATCATCAGCGTTACTTGTGTTGTTGTTTTTTACAAAAGTGAGTTTGTTTGTTTTGACATTTTCTTATTCTCTGATTATTCTGCAGTTAAGAGTGTATTTTGGTAGTACTTTGCTAAGCCATTAAGCGTTGGGCACACGTGTGACAGGAAGGTGAGTGAGTGAGCCAATCAAATGATGAGTATCGAGGGCTGAGATGTCGATAGTATAGGCGAATTTGATTAAGCTGATGCAAATAATTTTTACTTTTGTGAATGTGTGCTGTTATTTTTTCCATTATTAATATGTTGTTTAATTTTAACTTTTTTGCTTTTGTTCAAATGATTTCGTCTTGCATTCGATGGGCTGCTTGCAAAGTTCCAATTTTATTCACAACAATACATTTTTCAGAACAATCTTAATGCTATTTAAATGAAAATATTATAGTCGTATAAATAAATAAAATAAACAAGACACCAATACATGCATGTGTGATTATGAAGCTATTATTGAGTAGAAAGCTTTACATTTGATATATTTTTACAACATGCAATAACACTTGGCTTCCATCATGCATACGAACACACATACTATGTACATATTTATGTACATTCAACCAAGCATACATACTTACTTTCGTTTGAAAAATGATGTAATTAAAATATTCTGGCTATTATTGGCCGATTTCACAATAAAACACTTGAAGTTCCTTTTGCAAAAGTTTCCTTTTAGTTAAAGTGTTATTTAAATGTACTTTAAACAAGAAGTGTTGTCATAATACAATGGCAATTGAATAATAACAAAAGATCTATTTAAATGGAAATAAAGTTGGCAATGCTGATCTATGCAAAATTGCATTACCTCTTTGTCATAAATATGTAATTATAGCTACGAAAATGACGTACTTATTTGTTTTTCTACAAAAGGGACCTTTGTCATTTAAATTTTCATTTTGGGTATTTAACTAAAGGGCACATTTATCTATAAAGTGGCTTTATGAAATCGATCAGCAAAATAAAGAACCCTTTAAATTTTAAAATATTCTTTAGCTTTATCATGAAATTGGCCCTAAATAATGTAAATTCTAAGTTGACTACCACATGCTTCAATGGATGGGACGAAGCCTCAAAGTAGAAGTCAATCTTTATTGGGAAATGGGAAAAGCATGCGGAAAGTTTATTCTTTCATAGTAAATTAAAATAACAGATTGGCAGTGGGACAAATATTAAAAAAAATTCTTAATCTCAAAAGCAGATATTCAATTTTTTAATATCGAAAAAAATTTTTACTTAGAAAAAAAGATGTGACAATTTGAAAAAAATCAATTTAAAAAAAAAATCTTGTTTATTATCAGTAGTTAATTATTAATAAACTACTGAGGTTTAGTTCACTAGATCGATTCAGTAGATCAATATCTTTAATTTAAAAAAAGCGTTAAAATGCTTGATTTTTTCGTGGCAGTTATAAGCGATTTCATCAAAAGTAGCTATTAAGAGAGGGAAAAATAAGCTTTCGTATTAAAAAAGAAAAAATCATTATTCGAAAAATTCGAATATCTGAGCAAAAAGAAAAATACATGTCTCCTTAAATTGTTCAAGGAACAATCCATAATACATCAATCCCTGTGAGCTTTACCGCAAACTTTGAGATGGAACGACCCCTATGATTGTATGGGGGGAAAAATGTTGGATTTCTCTGAAAATCTGAAATCAAATAACTTTTTCGAATTTGAAGCGTTTGAAAACGATTGATACCGAATGCAAAGAAACGACCTAACCATGATTCAATCGCTGACACAGCAGTCCTTGCTGGGTGAATATTTAGTCTTACCAGCGCATAGAACCGGAAGCCTTCTACCTTTGTTAGCTCTTCTTCGTATACATACAATATACGTGTGTTGGTACTATGTACTAATGTTGGGCAATATCGATACCAAAAGTACTCAGAACTCTATTCTCAAAAGGATCGACCGCACTCGATTTTTAAAAGTATCGGTACTGAATACTTCAAAGAACTCAGTATCACGGTTGCCATTTCCATTTAATTTGTCGGACCAAAAAATTTACCTAATGGTAAAAAATTTACCAATTTTTATTACATCGGGAGATTGAGTCGAGTTTATTCCTCTTTATCAAGAAAATATACCAATTCCGTTTTTATAACGATTTTTTTATATTGCATACAATGTGCATTACAATTGTATAATATTAACATTATTTTCTTTTAAATTTTAAATTATAATTGTTTCTTAATTTCGTTTTTATTAATGCTAAATCAAAAAATATGTGCTCAGCTGCTGCGGAACTTTGAGGCAGACTAAAAATGTTATGACGTAAATCACACAATTCTCCAAAAGCCGCTTCACCCAATCCATTTTTAATAAACTTACTTCATCCCAAAAGCGTTCAATATTGGTACAGTTTTTGAAGTTACCTTCACTCAGCCTCAATTTGCGAAATTGATATTCAATTATGTCTGCATCATTTACCAATGCAGGAAATTGGTCGAGTAGCGGCAAAATTGATACATCAGTATCATAAAGAACTTTATTCGATTGCAATCGAATATTATTTTCATGTGCTAAACGATATGATTAAAGTTTTGCTACCTTTCCATATTTTTGCCAGCCATTTTACAAGTGCGCTCGGGTATAAAAACTGAAAACGTGAAATTTATTGCATGAAGTGAAACGGTCATAATAACCTAACCAAAGGCTTGCGAAATGGACCATTTTAAAAAGAATTGGACCAATGGACCAAACGAAAAGAAATGGACCAAATTTGGTCCGTGCTCAGTACTCAAAAAGAACTCGAGAGTACTCAGTACTGACAAGAGAACTCTAAAGTACTCAGTACTCAAAAATGCTGTTTTCAGGATCGATTCAATGAACTCAGTATAAGTGTCGAATAGATACTTAAGAGTACTGAGTTTTATTTACATGTACCGGTATTCAGAAATAATTGTACTCAATTTGAAGTTTTGATAGTTTTCAAGTACAACACTAATTTGAATCAAGTGCTGCCAGATTGTGAGATTTCTACAATAAGCATTGAAATGTTACCAACAAGTACATATTTAAAAAAACTCAGTACTCTCAAAAATACCCGATGCTTAAAAGTATCGATACCAAAGAAGTGGATCCTCAAAAGTGCTCGATACTTCCAAACAGTACCTACCTATGTGTGTATATGTTGTATGTATTTCATAGACTAGAGCAGTGGTCTCTGAGCACATGTGTGTTTCACACGTATACGAAGAGCGGCAGCTGAGCAGTTCATTTAACGCACACAGCCTCAGTTTTGAATCGTTTCAATGTGTTAGAATGCCGACCCTGGACTAGAGCATACTGGAGTGTATTGTTCACAGGGCAAACAAAGTTCCGATAGATGGCACTGGAGTCGAGATATCTCTAAAAACCATATTTGGAGTCCGATTTTGTTGAAATGCAAATCAGGTATTATCCACTAAAAAAAAAAAAAAAAATATTTAATTTGAAAATTGACCCGAAAAGTGGCGGCGTACTCGGGACATCTGTAAAAAGCGTATTTATGGCACGATTTTATTCAAATTCAAAACATGACTACGCAAATAAAAAATTATTTTGCCTAAAATGGGTCCGATAGGTGGCGCAGCAGTGTTCAAACGAAAGGTGCTACCGAAGCCAAGATACTACTAGATTTTGCAATTCACATTTATTCAAATGTATTGATTTTTTTTTTGCCGTCACCAAATGATAGATAATCGCATGGGTAATTTCTTCGATAATTTACTGACAATGTGTGTTACCAAATGCGCTTAATTTAAAAAACACGAGCAGTGACAAATATTTGCTGATGCTGTGAATAAATAAAACCCAAGTTATTATCATTTATTCTGCTGAATACTTAAATTTACTAGAAATTCCAAACACTCGAATATATTTCTACACGATGTTGGAATTGAGGTAAAATCACCCCGTTAAGTAATTAAGAACTTAGATTTATTTTTTGTTATTCATATCGACTCCTTAGCGCAAAATTATCGTATGCGCCAGAAACCCAATTTTACAGGAGATCGTTTTTTCTACTTTTCAAATCTTTTTGGATTTTTTTTTAATTTTATATTTTTACTACGTTCATCTACAATATTTTACCAGGTGATGCGTTGTGGGGTGTAGAACAAATTTGCATCAAAAAGTCAATTTCGAAAAAATGCTATATGCGATAATTTCGTGCAAAGGGATCGATATTCTTAATATTGTTATTATTTATTGTCGGAATAATATCAAATATTAAAACTTTCATAAAAAAGCACACTAGCTACTTTTACTTTTTTTATATTTTAGTTTGTTGTTTAGCAATAAATAAGGATATACACATATACATATAAATCAGTCTTACGCATTACCCACAAAGCAAATCTACTCAAAAAATAAATAAATATGTCCATATAGTATATATTTGGATTATACTGCCACATACACAAAGTCTATGAGCGAATAAAAAAAATGCATTCCACATAAGATCACATTCCACATGATGTAGTTTTTTATTTTTGTTTTTCTTGTCTCCAATAAAGATGTAGCCAATGGCGCGCACACAACGAAATAAAATTTTTTTGTTTTAATATTTATATGTTTAATTAAGTGAGCAAAAATGCTTGATGTTAATTTTCGGATACACCAATTTGTTGCAATTTTATGTTTTATTTATTTGTTTCTTTTTTCCACCAACCCCAAGTGATGAGATAGTGGATTAAAAAATGGTGTGTCCATCAACCAAATGATAAGAGCCAAAAAGTACTTATCCGTTTATAAAATTATTCAGTTGATTATTCTTTGAATAGTTTTGCGTAAAAAAAAATTTAAAAAATATATATTAAGGGAATAAAGTATTATTATGAGTTAGGGAAATTTTTTATATTTAAGGAAATATTTCAAAATCAAAAATTGCAATTAATAAGCTAATTTCACACGCAAAAATCAATTTTTTGTATTTTCCAATTTCAAATAACAACAACAGCAACAAAACAAGAACAATTAACAACGGGCCACACATCATACTAACTCACCTTAGGAAATTCTCGTTCTCTTCGTTTAACTTGTCGGCATCCTTCGATTTGTACCGCATCAAACGATCCAGTAGGCAGCGATTTTCGTCCTGTATGGAAATAGAAAGGCGTTTAGTAATCGCTTTACGCATCTTATTTGCACTGTTGTGAAATTCTCTAAAACTTGCTCTACGTCGAAAGTTCTATATAATTTTTATTTGTATATGTTTTGTTTTTTTTTCAGCGGTACACTAGTTTTGTATTCAAGTTTATTAATATTTTTCAAAGCACAGATTTTTTTTTTTAAATTTTGTATCGCAAGGTAATGAAAATATTTAATATGAACAAATCGTCTTAAAATTTCCGTGAAAACTGTAAACGCGCGTCGTAGGCGATTAAAGTAACAAGAAGGAACGAAATGCAGCGGAGATTTTGTTTGTCAGCCAATGTCGACCGAACAGCAAACTGGAAACGACGAGAGGCACGACCAGATAACACACTGACATATTTTACAGCGTGCTTGGGAAAATCTAGCGGAAAATGCTGAGTATGTAACAGTTTGTTGGCATGACGTGAAGACTACTTAGTGACTTGGTCAGTTAGTGGGTTGCTGGTCTGTTTGTTTATTTTGCCGACGAGTGTCATTTGTCAGCTGCCATGAGGGTGTATAAAATAATCAAATAGCCTGCGCACAATACATAAGTACGTACACACAGTGACAAACAAAAGTATTGGCACAGAGCATTTTTCGCAGTGCATGCAAAGTTTTTTATTCCAATTTCTTTTCGCTAATTATCTATAAAAAAAATAGTTCATACTACAACGAAATACATACATGAAAATAAAATCTCTATACTTTGCGCAAATCTTGGGGAAATTCAATAAATTTGCATACTAATTTGTTAGTTTCTAATCAGATTTTTTAGAAAAATTCGTAATATACATTTTTATAGCCCAGTGAATTTTTCAAATAAATCTGATTAGAAAGTTGCAAATTAGTATACAAACTTAATGAATTTTCCTCAAATTTGCACAAAGCTTAGAGATTTTGTTTTTATTTTATTTATTTTTTGTTGTAGTTTATTTACAGTGACTAGATTGGTGTGGCCGAAATTGGACTCAAGTGACCAATACAATTTTACTTTTAGAATAAAAAGACATAACACTGTTAATACAGTTTTATTCAAAAAAAAAAAATAAAGAGAAAAAACTTGAAAAATTTCGCAAAAACTTATACACACCACACTAGACTGTGTCAAATAAAACGATTGTTTTTCGGTCCTATATAAGAATTTCGTTGTCGGGTACAAAAAAAATAATCATGGAAAAATTTCAGCCCTCTATCTTAAGTTTTCACTTAGCGGTCGCAAAAATAAGAACTCTCAATGAAAAAATTTTTTTCCGCTACTTAGTTTGTTTATAAACAATTAAATATAATAAGTAAAAAAAGAGATTAATAAAATTAAACTTTCTATTATTTTTCATTTAAAAGTTTTATTGAGTTAAGCAGTTTTTAAAACTCATCAATATACTATTGATTGATCCCAGTAAGAATAGGTTGACCAATATGTGGTGGAAATTTTTAGCGAAAAAAAGCATTTTCCGTTTTATGCTTTTTGCGTTTACGTTTAACAGCTTTTGAAAAACATGAAATCTGGATACGGAGCGTAACTACTGTTTATATACATATACAAATTCGCGAAAAATTTTCTTCCATACAAAGTAAGTTTAAAATTTTTTTGTATGGAGAAAATGAGAAAGACCTTCTACAAAAATAAATGTAGCAGAAACCAACGTCCTAGATACTCAAGAATCGAAAGCTAAAGAATGCTAAAATATCTCTTCTCTATTTATATGTTCGCCACTGTAGCTACAGCTTATGTTTTATATATCCATGATTTTTTTTTAGATAGTTAGTATTGTTTTGTATAATTTCACTAAATTCAAGCTAGAATCGCTTCATTAAAACAAAAAAAAAATATAAAACTAATTATAAAAAAAAAATTTATAAAATTTAGACAAGAATGATAGATTGCACTATAGCGAGAGTACCAGTAAGAAAACATAATCAAAGATAATAGAAAATACGATAGCTGGCTATGCTTGTATTCTACGACCTTAACGGCGTAACGAAAGTACTGCCACGTTTGTACAAATAATTTTTTTTTTGGCCAGAGTACAGGGAAATTCTTAAATTAATAAGGAAAACACTGAAAATCGGGATTTAATCGATGAAACTATGAAAAATCGGTACTGTCCCGCTAAAATCGACAAGTAGTACACTGGAAGTATATGTTATGTTTTTTAACTGCATACATTGCAAAAAATTCTCTGTGCCAATACTTATGTTCGTCACTGTAGACAGATACATATCAAAGTTTTAACTTTCTATTTCTGTATGCGGGGTGCTGCGTGTGTGTAAATTATTTCACGCTACGCAGCAAAGGCTGGCAAGTCAATTTAATTAATAAATACCGTTATCGACTTGGTCAGTGGCAGTAAAAATAGGTGTGTTTAGCCACAGGGAAGACAATCGGCCAATGAGATTTTTTATCTGCAAAAGGGCAAAAATCAAACAAAGCGTAAATGGAGAAATGCATGAAGCCAGCTTGTGTACATAGGCACTTTATTTACCTGATTTCAAAAGTTAGAATTATTTTGCAAATAAAAAATCCAGTTATTCAAAGAAACTAGAATTTTGATTTTTTTTTTTAGATTTTGTAATTATTACTTCACAGGCAGACACCCAGCATCCATACATAGAAGATAATTTGAAAATTCAGTGCATTTAAATTTTCTGAGGCGTTGTTTACATTTACTTGAGGATTGGCAAAATCGGCAAAACCCAAGTAGTGATACCACTGACGGCGTCTCCTTTGTTATATACACCGTGAACGATCGTGGCACGTTCTAACAGTTATGAGTTGATAGCTTTCTTAAAAAATTTTTTATGGAAAGTTTCAATTGCAACAGTAATTGCTAGTTTGGTGTTACTTCTTAAATATGGAAAATTATGATTTTATATGAAGTTTTACATAAAAAATCTTAAAACCTCAACAACTGTATTAAAAAACGAGAAAACTGAAGTTTTGGAAATGACGAATTTCGTATGTATAAATAAAAAAAAAAAACTTTAAAAAACTGTTTGGGCCTAGATCAAATAGTTTGGGCTGAATATATAGCATATCACAGCGATCCAGTACGGCATTTCAAGGTCATTGTACACCCTGTATTGTATTAAAAATATCAAAAGGAAAAAACTAAGGGGGTGCCCCGTTTTCTAGAATGAAAATTTTTTCCCCATACAAAAATTGGACCACTCTAGTATTCACTGTGTGGATACCCTGCATTATGGAGAAGACGACAAAAAAAAATTGGTAAGAAAATTGTTCACCAATCTAAACGCAATGGCAAATGTGAACTTACGGCAGCTGCCCAGATTTGTTGGCTCCACAAACTTGGTTCAAAGTGGGGTGGTAGTTTTGAGATCTCTGTGGTAGCACAAAATGCGCAATTTGTAGGCTTAAGTAGTATGTGTGCTGATAGGAATATCACTAACGCCTTGAAGAATGCTGTCCTTGTACAAACATACATGTCTGTGTCGATGAACGATAATCGCCTCTTTTCCGGCCTTAAAAAATTCATGGGCAATTAAGAAAAAAAATATAGAAAAATAATTGGTAAGCTGAATCCAAAGCAAGTCTGAGTCAAATTAAACTCGATATTTAAAACATCGTTGAAACTGACATCGATGTATCGTCAATTTTGTAATTTTAGAAAATTGGAAACATCGATGGCAAACATCGCGTACTTTAGCTATAGCGGCAGCCTGTTTTTAGATGCCTTCGTCAAATTGAAGCTTTTTTCGCTACAAATTCTCTTAAAATTTTGCGCCGTACTATATACAAATGACGAATTTAGATTAAGGTTCATTCCAAAATCAACTGAATTTAATTTATTTTCTTATATGTATATACGTACAATTCATACAGCTGCGTTCACGAACACCTTACCACTTAATATTTTGTGGATTTTACAATTTCTAGAGTATATACGGCAACCAACGTTTTGAAATTCGCCAAGTATATTTTATAGATATTATAGATATTATTAGAGTTCATTTAGAATAATTAGTTAGTTTCTATATCAAAAAAAAAATAAAAATAAAAATAAATAAAATTTTTTTAAAATATGATGGATTGATTTTTGCTTTGATATTTTCCTAAAGCTAATAACTAGTCACATTGGTAAGAAGTTGATGCATCTTCAACCGAAGTAATAACTTTTATTCGTTTAGGAAATAGCGAAAAATGATTTTACAAAAGTGCGTTTTTAATTCAATATCTAATCATCTTTTCAGAAAGCCATCTTAATTATCGGTTTATATTGACATATATCGGGCTTGTTTGAGATGCAATCACAACCGCAGTGTTGTGCGAATTATTAAAGTAACACGTTCGGTGTGAACTACTAGCAAGATTTATCAGTTGGGAAGTTGCAACAGTATTACAAATTTTCATCAGTGCTGCAGTATTGCCGCTTTTATTACGCGCCTTGAACAGCCTCATCCTGTTTCATTCAGTGCCATGCGTGTTTAATGGAACTTGAGTTAGGGGAATTTTTCAGCCGATCTATTCGTTTAAATCCAAGGTCCAGAAACATTTTTTGCACTTGTGAGCAATGTAGAAATCATTATCCATCTTTTCATTTACAAACACGAACTTAAGAATATATCAAGAAATATTTTCAGAACCTAGCTTACCTATTACATACATACATGCAATGTCTTAAACGGAATATTTTTTGATTTTTCTATATTATGCCTGATTGATTGAGCCCATCGCAATAGCACAATATTCTTGTGACCTCACAACACAATCATGGTGGTGTCAAAGTCGCCGTATATGGGAAGAAAAACACCCACAGAGCATTTGGTTTTGAGTAGCTGTAGCGTTTCTTACTCTTTTTGTTAATTTTGTTTGAAAATATGGCTTATATTTTAGCAAACCCCATTTAAATCCAAGAAGAAAATTATTGCTCCAAGCTTCAGCAAAATCGCGAACTTTTTAATACGAATTTCTAAAACGAATTTAATATAATAGTGTGCCAATTTCAATGTTCAAATGTCGCGTTGATTTTTGAGAATTTTTTTGTTGAATGTCCTTCGCATTTTTTTTTATATAAAACGAAATTCTGAAAATTTTTATGGCTAATTTAATGGGCTATAAAACTGCATAACTGAA